AATTCGCAAAATCTCTCTGTTAAAACACTTTCGTTTCCGCGCGATATCTCGAGAACCCTTCGAGCTTTTGCAATGAAATTTTACATAACTCCCTGTGGCCCAAGGAAGACACCTATTTATTTTGAGGTCAAAAGGTCAAAGTTCAAGGTCGAAAATGTATACATTCTGTCTGTGTGTAACACTATCCTTTCCGGGCGATATTTCAAGAAGATTTTGAGCTTTTACAATGTAATTTTATACCAAAACTCCCTAGGACCCCTCTCACCCCTCACAAAGTGTCCCACCCCGTTTATTTTATTAGTATTTATTGTATTACATGTCGTTATTTTTAGCACAGGGGCATGAGAGAGTTATTACGTATATAACAGGTTTTCAGTGGACTTTATATTCTTATTACATCTATTAGAACTGTTTAATAAAGGTTTAAATAGACACCATGCATTGTGTCACATTTTGACAATATCGAACGTATATATATATACATGTATGTGGCTTCATTTTCGCATATTATGTTCACTAATTTCTAGCGGATCCGTGGTATAATGGTATGTCTCTCGCTTCACATTTGAGATGTCCCGGGTTCGAATCCTGGACGATCCATGTCTCCAAACTGGAATTGTTTAATGTTTAATTGTTTAACCTTTGAGTTTGAATACTATCCCTTCTCTCTATATATTTTATTTTAATAATAATAAAGAAATAACGATTTTTTAAACTTCAATGGGAATTGAAGTGGGTCGGTCAAGCGATTCTTGTGAAGTCCGAAGGCCTTCTCAGAAGATTTGATCACGTACCGACTCACTTCAATTCCCATTGAAGTTTATAAACTTGTTATTTATTACTTATATAATATACATTTGAGATGGACAATTAAATAAATACGGATATAAATATTACACTAACCGGTGACCGTAGATTTCCGACAAACGTACGCACGGTGTAAATCGGTTTGAAAGGCGGTTGCGCTTCGAATTCATCAGGCTAAGGATTCTATTTCGATCGGAATATTTTGTTAAAGGCTACTTGTGATCAGTAAGAGTGAACAGATTGTTGGTTAGAAAATTTTCATTCTTGAAAATGAAAATTATCGCTGAAAAGACACAAGAAACATGCCAAAAGAATGATGATAGAAAGTTGGAGGAATTTCGGTCGCTGGAAAGGGATGGATGGAGACACTTGTCCGAGCAATTTATTTGCAATCAAATATTTAATTTGGTTAAAAACATTCAATCACGTAGACACTGGCGACAGCTCACATTGAACTATGACAGCGCCGATCGAGGTGTTTGTCAGTTGTTTGTGGAGTGATTGCAATGCTTTGATATTTTCCAACAAATTTACACATTTATCGTGAGTAAAATTTAAGGAAAAATTTATAGGCTATTTTATCATGAAGATTTTTAAAACATAAGGTCTACCTAAAATTAAGGATAAACGTTAGAGACTGTGCAGCTGACAAGAGTTTCTATCGGATGTAGACAGGTTAGGATAAATCGATCGCGAAAACATTAATTTTATGAATTACTTGTTTACATTGTAAATAAAACAATTATTATTTTACTAGCTTATTGTGTTCATTTTTTATACATGAAAAGCAAGTAGAGCAAGTAATTAGAATATTTGTGTACCGGTAGATATTATTGCGCCGTGTGATTAGGTTCCGTATTGACCTATGACCTCTGAATAACTTCATACAGATATGAAGATATTAATTTTGTTCTCTGCATGTTTATATAATAGAGAGATAACAAAAATGTATATATTTGTAGATAAATATTTTGATTAAGGCGAAGTTACGGTTTTATTTTAATTATGATTTTTTTTATTGTCATTTACGTCATCATTCGTTCTTACTTGTGTTAAAGATTCATCTAAAGAACCTGCTTTATTATGAATTCAGAAATCCTCAATGATAATAATGCATTTATTACATGCATATGTATGCCGCAATTTTAGTGATTCTCAATATGATATTTTATTATAGAATCATATCTACAGTGTAAAATTGAAAAAAAATCGATTTGAAAGGGAACAGGTATTTGAATGATATTTTTATTACATGTTTATAATATTATTAAAACAATACATGTAACTGCCTCACATGAATTAATTTTTTTTCGAATGTGTTGCAGACTAATATATCAAAACAATTGTTGATTCTTTATTAACCTATTTGTTCTGTGATCAGGATATATATAAATATTTCATCAATATTATATAACTTTTCTTAAAATATTGCTTTATTATACACTAATCAATTTGCCATTAAATGCGTTCTTACAAGAGTTTACATCATAACCATATGATCTTTTTGCATTATTTTTTTAGATAGCATCTTATACAACATGTTTGTCAAAAACTTTGTTCTATCCTTGTAAAGTACATTTTTTATTCAATCATTATCTTTCCATCTTTAAAATACGCTTTTAAAGATAAGCTCACAAGACCTTTGTTAATAGATCTCCAAATCACAGTTTTTGTTCAAAATGTACCTGTTGACTTTTAAGCTTTAATTATAAGCATACATTATTACAACATCAAAGGCATTTTTTGGATCTTTTCTCAAGGACAAATCACGATTGTCTCTACACTAAAATGAAAGCCTTTAAATGCTTTGTCAGCAGTCCGACAAATTAAGTTCTAAAACGTTGTGTTTCATGTTTACACAAAATTACAGAAAAAATAAATACATATATCTAAAAAAGCTAATAAACACAATTAAGAAATTAAAAACATTCATTAATCTGATCAGTTGAAAAATTTCATGCTTCAAAAATAAATGAACTTACCCAAATAAGCTCATAAAAAGATGATCAATATATCCCGTAGAACTATAATCATTGATTATTTTGGACTTAGAAAAGGACCCTATTCGTAGGAAAATGTGAATATACGAATGAAATACAATATAATACATGTATATGCACTCTTAAAAACCTCAGCTTTTCTTTACAGTATGGAGCCGATTTTGAAAGTGTGGTTGATGTCACTTTTTTTCTTTCCTTGTGTTTTTAGGTCACGTGAGTAAACGCAGGTGACCTACTGCTTTCCGTTGTGCGTTTACATTTGAACATTTTCAGATTCTTCTCTGCAACCACTCGACCAATTTCAACCAATTTTTGGCAAAAAGCATTTATGGGTAAAGGGAAACAAAAATTGTGAATTTCATGGACCCTGCCCACCTGGGGCCTGGGGTGTGTGGCCAAACACACTAGAATTAATGCATTTTTACATTTAATAAATTTTAAAAGTCATAAATATCGTTCATTTAATTATGCACGTTTGTATACAGAAACAACCAGTCCTATCTGCATGCTGAAATGGATACTTTTTGCACCTCCATCGTAGGAGAGTTACAATCTCGAAACTTGCGTATTGCACTTACGGCTTTGACACAATCATTCTCTTCAGGACTAAAATTTAATCGAAACTTTGATTTTCGAAAATTCTAGCCTTAGAAAATGAATGACAATGAAAAATTATAAAAGTTCGTTAATGTTTGGCCATGCAGAAAAAAGTTTCGGCCAGCCTCGCAAATATACACTAGACAAAATTGCTAACGCACCACTCATTATTCTTTTTTGTGAATTGAACATTTGTCTCATCAGTATCAGTATACATAAAACACCATCTTTTGCAACACAATGGGATTGATAAATGTCTTGGTGTCATGACAAAACCCAAAAATGACCTTCTTGCCCGAAAACCAATTTCCCGACATGCATTGCGTCCCTTTTTGCCCGGATATATGCAGTTGCTTATTACCGATGGTGGACCCTGGGGTTACACGAGAAGCAGTTTCTCAGTTAAAAATCAAATAATATGCAGCGATTGGCTGTTTTATCGACTGCTAGTCATCCTGTGCCTTGGTGTCCATACCCAGTCCACCCAACTTCCGGTTGCTCCAATTTTGTAGAACAACATTGAAATTGTGGTGTGGTGTTTACTTAATGGATTGGCTATCTATAGTAAACAAGTTCATTAGCGTAAGGATTTTTGATAAGCAGTGTTATCATAGTTTTCTAAAGCAGGAAAGGGAACCAGACTGACTCGTTTGTTTACATTCAGCTGCGGTACCAGATTAATTCTGATTCTGACAAAATCGGACCGTGGTTTTAGGATCGAAAAACTTACTGTCAGTGTCTTATCATTTATGTTGATAGTTTTAAAATAATTTTTTCAACAGAATTTTTAATCTGATATTCTTGTTATTGATCTGTTAACACAATATAAACGTATGATTCATGTAAGAAATTCATTCTACTCTGTAAATGAGCCCGACTCTCTGTACTTCTGAGTACTTTGATTATGTTTACTTATCTAATTGCAACTATTTTTCAATATGGGAATACAAGAATGAGCATTTTTCTCAAGGTTTTCATTTTTTACAAATCATTCTAAAATAACCCCCTGCAGTTAGCAAGCTCTTCTAGATTCAAATGCCGCATACAGTGTACTTTTTTCTGATTTTTAATATTAGTAGTAGCAAAAAGAACATAAAAGCGAAGAAAAAATAAAAATTTATTCCTCTAAAAAGCATGGACATGATTTTCATTTTTGTCTATGAAATGGTCAAGCTTCAATTAATTAACATTATACTAGTAGTTTTTAATCAATTTTGACATTTAATTGCTTTATTTTTTGCTAAGGTATCATAATTATAATATATCAACTGCATCTGTAACAAGTTCTGAAAAGTAAAATAGTACTTTTATTTGGTGGTGCGTTAGCAATTTTGTCTAGTGTATTCCATTTCAACTCGTTGGATAAAGCAAATATCAAATCACACAATATAGAATCATTATATCTCCTATATATGTATATCACAGAATATTTGTTTAGTGGTGTATTTATAGGAAGAAAGCAAGTAAAATATGATACGTGGTATCATTCGTAAAAGATGAAAGAAAATCAAAAAGCGTTGAAACATTTTTAAAACAAAACGATAAAATATTTTGAAATTCAAGACAATTGTGTAAAAATAACCTCAAAAGGGCACACAGGCTTTTTTCTTTAATCTAAAGAAGGTTTCAGAAGTCGACAAAGTTACATTTTACTATGTACAAATACCGTTCAGTTTACATATACCAGAAGCGACATCAAATATATAGGTGTCTGGACATTTGACAGCGAGTGAGTTCCCCCCCTTCACACCTGTAGTAAGCATCACATCTGCCTTCAGGATATCTATAATTACCATTTGGTGTATTGTAACAGGATGGCAACAGGCCCCCTTCGCTTTCTGGAACAGCATATGTGGGTCGACAGGTTCCATTGTAAAAGTAAGATGCGCTGTCCCATAAAGAGTCTTTTTGACACTGCTGCGTTGCAATACGACGTTCATTTAGACATTCAATGTAATAGGGAGTTGTAGAGCCTTCAATATTTGGCCAATATCCGTCCTTTTTACCTACACAGCTGGGATATAAAATGTAACATGGAATACAATGGCGACGGCAACTGAATGCGCCATACTGACCTGCAGGAGAAAGAAGAAATTTAAACAGACTTTTTTCAAACAAAGGTCAGGATTTTTTTTTATTTCCTCTATATCATTTTGACAGATGGTCCGATTCAATTTTTTTTTTAAATCAAAACTTGAACTACATGGATCATTAACAGGTGTGGTTTGCCGAATGATATCCTCCCCCCCCCCCCCTTAAACATTGAATTTTTCTAAGTCAAAGGGACAAAACTCTGTCAAGAATTGCTCGTTCGTACCCAAAACAGAACTTAACTGAATATTCTTATGATAAATCTGTATACCAAATTTCATTTCAGTTTAAGCAACCTTTGCAAAGAAAATGAACTGAAATTGTTGGTAGACAGGTTTTGTTAGATTATTCGAACTACGTGACAAACCATAGACTAAGTTTGTTTTTAAATTGTTTTTTTTTTAACCATTCAAATGAGATGTTCTGATCATAGCATGCATGGTTTATTAATGGCATTCAAACACGTCTTTCTTTTGAGGAAGTTCGACTTAATTCCAAGAAATTATTTATGAGCTTGTAATTACCGAAGTAATTCCATTTTGGGGGCACTTTTTTATATACAAGATTTTATAATGAGAAATGGGGATCACGGTATGGGATATGTATTGCTTATGAAATACTCTCAAATGATTTGTTTTCTCGTAGTCCTTTGGTTATATCTTCATCACTTTTCCAGCTGTCGTTGATGCTTGTTATCGGTATTTTTATAAATCATTAAAAATTTGAATTTCAGTTTTGGAGACACAAGACAAATTTAGAACTCTTTACCTTTGTTATGTAAACAAAGTATGTGCTTTAATTTACAAAGTTAAATATGGGGAATAAATATAGATTAGATCAAAGCAAATTTTTTTGGTGACAAAATTAATTAAAATTCTAATTAATCTCTTTCTAGTGGTTTGCTGGACCTTTTTTGCTATTAATTCTATATGTAAACAAAAACAAGGCAAGACCCTTATTATGTTCCCCAAACGAAGTTGGGGAACATATTGTTTTTACTCTGTTTCTTATTATTATGTTCCCCAAACGAAGTTTGGGAACATATTGTTTTTACTCTGTTTCTTATTATTAGGGCTTTTCGACTTTTGTCGAAAAGACCTATTGTTTTCGTCTTGTTTATTATTATTATTATTATTATTATTATTATACTTAGCAATTCTTTTGCTCAGATTTTCAGGAGTACCTTTAAAAGTAGGTATTTTATTTTATAACTATTAGATAGCATATATAAAAATGTCCTGTCTGTAATGTTTTATACTTCCGGTCTTGTCACTTCCGGTTTCTACAAAGGGAAAACTGAAATCTCTAAAGAAGCCAAAAACATTTTTAATTTCAGTGTCTAGACTCCCAAATTTAAGATATGAATTCTAGAGACCTAATCCTATAAAAAAGTGCGCGTATGTGATTTTTGACCACAAATACTTTTCGAGATATAAGACTTCAAACATTGAAGAAGGGGGGAGGAAATTTTTGAAAGTCAAAATAACGTTACAAAAATTATTTTGAGGATGTAAATATGTTTAAACTAATTAGTAGGACATATCCTGTAAGTATCATATCAATCAGACCTGAACTTCCGGTTTTATGGGTCTTTTAATTTTTATGTTAAAATGAAATCAGTTATGTAACAGTATCTCTAAAAGTAATTAAGATTTTCTTGTAATATTATGTATACAGAATGACTCTGATACTGTTCTGACTTCATAAGATTATGAAATCAAACTTTGGGAAAATAAGGGATTTCTAGGGGCCAACATTGAAAACACACCTTTGCATGTAACTTTTTTATTTCTCAATGAATTTTCAAACAGTTTTCGGAATTGAGTTCAGCATAAAGAGAACAATCTAAAAAATATGATCCGTGGGGTCACTTTTTCACCCCTTATAGGGGTTTTAGAGACCTGAAATAATGTATTTTTAAGTCTTTTCAAAAATGATGCTGTAAGAGTTATCTCTCTTTGTTGACCTGTTTAGAGTCTAACATGCTCTCTACGATTTAATTTTGGTATGCACATAAAGAGTACTTCCGGTTTTATGAGTGCCTTAAAATTGCCTATGGAGATTTCTATGTTAAATTCGAAATCATGATTGTTCCATTATCTCAAAAGGTAGGCAAACAATTCTCGTGAAATTTCATATGAATATTGACTCCAGCATTGTCTCCAGGAGGAAGGTCATGAAAATAAAAATCCCTGAAATAGAAAGGATTTTAGGGGTCAGTACAGAAAACGGCTTTTCCTCTGTAACATTTTTAATTCTCAACCAATCTTTAAACTAATTTTGGTATGAGGTCAAGCATAAGGTGTACAGTTTAAAGATAATGGGCCGTGGGGTCCTTTCTGACCCCTTATAGGAGTTTTAGTAGATTGAAAAACAGCACATTTTCGCTTTTGTTTAATAACCACGAACCACGTTATGTCTCTTTGTGTAGACACTGATGTACAAATAGAATTGTTATGTTTCCAATTAAATATTGATCTCAAAAGAACTTTTGCAATATTGTATTATAAGATTTTTTTTATTATAAGATATTGATTTTTCTTGTAAGATTCATTATTTTAAGAGGTCGAAAAGCCCTCCGTTTTTGTTGAACTACAAAAAGATCTAGTTAGGGCTTTTCGACTTTTGTCGAAAAGACCTATTGTTTTCGTCTTTTTTATTATTATTATTATTATACTTAGCACTTTTTTTGCTCAGGGTTTAGGGATTGTCTTTAAGAATACCTTTTTATTTTATAACCACTAAATAGCAAATGTAAATGTCTCCCGTCTAAAACAAGATAAACTTCTGGTTAAGTCACTTCCGGTTTATACTGAAGAAAAACTAAAATTTCTACAATACCTTATATCGTTTTTATTTTTAGTGTGTAATCTTTCAAATTCAACATATAAATTCTAAAGAACCAATACTATAAAAAAGTTCGCGTACACGATTTTTGACCACAGATACTTTTTGAGATATAAGACTTCAAACATTCAAGAAGGGGGGATAAAATTTTTAAAAGTCACAATAACATTACAAAAATTATTTTGAGCATAGAAACATGTTAGGACTAATTAGTAGAACTAATACTACAAGTTTTATATCAATCAGAGCAGAACTTCCGGTTTTATGGGTTTTTGAAATATGTCTACGGGAGTTCCTATGTTAAATTGAAATCAGGCATCACACGTTTTCTCTTAAAATGGTCAAGATATTTTTATGAAATTGAAAGGGTAAAATGACTCTGATATTGTCCCAAACTGATTAAATTATAAAAATGAAATACAAAAAGTTAAGGGATTTCTAGGGGCCAACATTCAAAACAGACTTTTTTCCGTAACTTTTTTATTTCTCAATGGATTTTCAAACAGTTTTCAGATTTGAGTTTAGCACATAGAGGACAGTCTAAAAATTATGGTCCGTGGGGTCACTTTTTGACCCCTTATAGGAGTTTTAGAGACCTGAAATATTGCATTTTTAAGTCTTTTAAAAAGTATTTAGGCAAGAGTTATCTCCTTTTGCCCACCTGTTTGGATCATTATATGCTGTCTATGTTTCAATTTTGGTATTCATCTGAAGAGTACTTCCGGTTTTATGTGTCTGTTAAAACAGCCTATGGAGATTTCAATGTTAAAGTAGAAATTATGCTAGTTCCACTATCTCAAAAAGTAAGCAAGCAATTCTTGTTAAATTCCACATGGAAAATAACTGTTCCATTGTTCTTAGGAGATTATATCATGAAAACAAAGTTCCCTCAAATAAAAGGGATTTTAGGGGTCAGAACAGAAAATAGTTCTTTTGCCTGTAGCTTTTTTATTGTGCATCAATCTTTAAAATGCTTTCGGCTTTGAGTTAAGCTTAAGAAGGACAATTTAAATATTATTGTCCGTCGGGTCACTTTTTGACCCCTTATAGGAGTTTTTAAGAACTGAAATATCGTATTTCTAAGTAATTTGAAGAATAATCGTGTAAGAGTAATCTCCCATTGCATATCTCCTTGGAATCCAATATGCTCTCTACGTTTCAAAATTGGTATGTACATGTGGAGTATTTCCGATTTTATGAATCCTTTAAAATTGCCTATGGAGATTTCAATGTTAAATTTGAAATAACGCTAGTTCCATTATCTTAAGAGGGAAGAGAGCAATTCTTGTGATATTTCACATTAATGATGACTCTGGCATTGTCTTTAGGTAGTAGGGTCATGGAAATATGAATCCCTTCAATTCAAGGGATTTTAGGGGTCAGTACAGAGAACTGTTTTTTCTTTGTAACTTTTTTATTTTTCAAGCAATCTTCAAACTAATTTTGGTTTTGCATCAATCATAAAGAGTGTAATTTAAGAATAATTGTCCATGGGGTCACTTTTTGATCCCTTTTAGGAGTTCTATTTGATTAAAAAAGAGCATTTCATTTTTGTATGTTTTTTTGATAATCATGGAAGAGTTATGTCTCTTTGAGTAGCAACTGATTGACATAGAGACTCGTTATCCTCCCAACTCAGTATTGATCTCAAAAGAACTTTTGTGATTTTGTATCTAATGAATTTTCTATCATCTAAATTTGATTGTTCCTAAAGCTCTTGGTTTTTCTGGGGTCGAAAAGCCCTCCGTTTTTGTTGAACGACAAAAATAGATCTAGTTATTATTATTATTCTTAGCAATTCTTTTGCTCAGCGTTTAAGGAGAACCTTTAAGAATAGGTATTTTATTTTATAACCAGTAAATAGCTTGTGTTAATGTGTCTCATATGAAACAAAAGAAACTTGGGGTTAGGTCACTTCCGGTTTCTACGAAAGGAAAACTGAAATTTCTAAAGAATCTGAAGTCTCTTTTATTTCAAAAGTCTAGACTCCCAAATTCAATATATAAATTTTAGAGACATAGTTTTATAAAAAAGTGCGCGTAGGTGATTTTTGACCACTGATACTTTTCGAGATATAAGACTTCAAACATTGAAAAAGGGGGGATGAAAATTCAAAAATGAGTAAGAATGATCGGAA